AAAATGTTCATTTTTAATGAATTCTGCATATTGTTCAAATAGTCAAAAAAGGACATTTTTAAAAGTCCATAACTTGAGATATATTTCACCGATTTTTATTTTGTAAACGGATTTGGTATCGTAAAGAGTTGTTCTATAACATATAATTTTACTGGAATTTTATTTCAAATTTCAAAAAACGTCATTTTTTGAAATTTTTACTTGATTTCAAACAAAATTTTTAAAAGTTTGTAACTTTGGTGTTTTTTATCATAAAATTCTAAATTATTTTTCCCTGTATGCATTAAGGTTTTAAAAAACATATGAAATTAAAAAAGTTAAAGTAATTAATTTTTTGGTTTTGATATCCCACTTTTAGTAGCCCGCCACTTTTAAAACTAAATTTTTGTACCGTTTAGAAAACAAATCATTTCATTTTTTTTTCTTAACATATTTGAATTTTGTTTGCAGAATATTAATTTAGAAGACTCAAGTTTTCCAACGGTGTATCACACTTGTAGAACAAAAAATAACTTTGCGTAAAAACTGGCGCGACAAAAGCCCGCCACTTTGCGGTAAGTACATAGTTGGCCTCCTGATACTAGTGAATGTTGTGTGCTTTTTAAAAACATTTTGATTTTTTCCTCTGATGACTTTTATTACAAAAAAACAAAATATTCTCAATTTTGTGTCAATCAATCAACCAGTTAGTGCTGATGACGGGAATGGTGGTGGGGGAAGAGAGTAAATAGAGCGATGAAAGAAAATGGGAAGAGAAAAAAGTATACTACAACAACTTAGTTGCACAACAACAGCCGTACAACCAGTTCTACAAGTCTTTTCTACATTTTCACTTTGCCTGTTTGACTAGTCGTGGACTACCAATGTCACCACCACCTTCTTTTGTAAAAGAAAGAAAAAGAGCTCATCAAAAGAGCTGCTGCTGCTGCAACTCGACGACACTGCCCAGCATAATGTTGGGCAGGGCGTTCCGCCGCCGTCGCCAGTGGCCCAGGCCGCTGCTGTGCAGGCGCAGCTGCTCTAGCCACTCCTTCGTCTCGGAGTGCGTTTCGCCCTAAAAAGTAAAAAATTAAATAAAATTGATTTTTTAATGAAAAGAAGAGCTAATAGTTTACCTTCAGCAGCAGCGACTCCTTCGACTCGAGCTCGTGAATCTCAAAGAGCTCATCGCCGTCCACCTCGGCGGCGGCGGCAACGACGCACATCGCCAGATTTAGTGACTAAAATGTTTGAATTGGTCAAAAAGAAAAATTGATTAAAATGTTCATCTAAAAAAGCTTCAGTTCAGCTCAGCTCTTACCCGACAGAGCACGTAGCGTCCACTCTTCTCCTTGAAAAGCAGCAGCACTGCCTCCTTAATGCCTTGGTTGGCTGATATTGACTGCTGCGAGGAAAAAACCTTGCTCGCCAGCTGTCCTCCTCGACTGGGACTTTTAGAGTTGGCCCGACGGCTGGCACTGTTGAATGTAAATGGACTTCGACTTGCGGAGGAGGAGGTGTTCGGTAAAGATTCACCCAGGTCCGCTGAGTGCTGATCATCCTGGTAGAGTGTCAGGCTGTTTGGCTCACTGTTCGAAGGTGAGGAGTTCATCACCTCCTGGAAGAAGCTGGTGGTGCTGCGAGAAGAGTGCACTGAAGTGTCACCCTCTGCCGCCGTCGTCGAGGGTGACAGCGTCACGAGGATGCCACTGGCGGTGGTGAACTTGAGCGTTCGTGACCAGAAGGAATTTGAACTGTTGTGGGAGGTATTTCCTGAGCTTGAGGAAGAGGTCGTCGTTGAAGCAGCAGTAGAAAGATTAAAAAGAGATTGGTGGTGATAAGTAGAAGAGTTCAAGTCTCTGCTGGCTGAAGTTTGTGAGTTGCTGCTGCTGCTGCTAATGTTGTTGATCGTCTCTGAGCTAGTAGTGCCGCCACTCGTTTTCTTCTCAACCATGTACGAAATCTTGCCAATCAGGTCAAAACGAGCCTCCTCTTTCGGCCACTTTAGCTGATCGAGGGCGGTCTGCAATGCAAAACAAATGGTTTAGTCATCCAAAACATCCAGGTCTTTCAAAGCCAAGAAACAAACCTTCTTCAGTCGAACATAGCCAAAGTCGTCCATGTAGGCGGCGGAATCGCCACCGTAGCTTCCACTTCCGCCAACACCTCCACCGCCGACCCGAGAGCGAATGGAGGCAGAGCTGAGGTTGCTGATGCGTCGCCAGATTCGGGAGGTTGCCCCGGTAATGCCCTCACCTCTAGTCCGCTGGTTGATGCTTTCCAGGTGAAACTCCAGCTTTGCCTGCGCCTCCCGCAGCGCTTCTCGTTCGCACTGCTGCTGCTGATGCTGTTTCTTAGGAGGTGTCACTTTTTGTAGGCGATTAAGAAGTAATGGGTACCTGAAAAAAGTGAAAATAATGAAATGATTAGAAACCCAAGTAGAGCAAAAGACGTCTAAGTCTTTTCACTTACTTGGTCACCCTTTGCACGGGCACGACGAGAAAAGAGCGCAGGTTCATGCGTCTGTAAAAAGAGGAAAAATGTGTTAAAAAAGGTTTCAAAATATTTTGTTTAAAACATCATCATCGTTACCTGAGCAGCGTGTTCTCCATCTGCGAAACCCGGAGAAAGATGCGCAACAACTCCTTCTCCTTCTCCAGCTGATTGAGCAGCAGCGAGGCGGAGCCCTGGCGAATGCAGTACTGCTCAAAGACGGAGATCCGCGCGAGGAGGCACTCGCTGAAGAGCTGGCCGATGCTCACCGTGGTCAGGTCCTGGGAATTAAAAGTTTATGATGAGTTCAAGAAGCTCAAGTGGAAAATGTGATGATCACTCCGCTCTTACCTCATCCTCTCGCTCGTAGGCCTCCTCGAGGGCGTCCTGCAGCCGTCCGGCAAAGTGCTCATTCACCTCGATCAGCTCGTCCAGGTTGAGGAAGATGTCCTCCAGCTGGCCGGCCGTCAGCAGGCCGGCCACGCCGATGGGCCGCGCAAACTCCGCCGCGATGATCTTCAGGTCGCGGCCGTACTTCAGCTCAGTGTCGACAATCTCGCAGATGATCTCCTTTCGTTCGTTTCGCCGCTTTGTACAGCGTGGGCAAATAAAGTTTGTTGTTAAACTTTTGGTCTTCTTCTCCTCACCACTGGTGACTACTACAACTTCCATTGACTCGAGATCACAGTCGACGCACACCTGAAGACAGGTCTTGCTGGTTTTGCTGATACTCTGCTTCGGCGTTGAGGTGATCATCATCTCCACGCCCACTCCCGAGTCGTTTCGCTCCAGTGCTGAAAAATTACCATTCGTAGCTGTGGTGGTGGTGATGATGGGGGTGATTCCAGTGGAAACTTCCGTTAATCCTGCTGCTCCTCCACTGCCTGATCCACAGGTGCCGTAGTAGCAGCTCGCTGAAGAGGAGGAGGAATTACCTCCTTTACCAGAACCTCCCTCCTCATTTCCCATTGATCCAAGGCTTGAACTGGAGTTGGAGTTGATGGCCAGCTCTTCCTCGTCGTCCTCGACCTCATCAGAGAGCGACGAGGAGACGCCAGAAACGCCGGAGGAGGTGGCACAGGATTCACTGCTCGAGTTGCTCACATTGCTCACTCGGTTTCGACGATTGACGATCACAGTTGTGGAGGTGGTGGTGGTGGTGGAGCTTGAAGTGTTCGAGTTGGTAGAGTTGACCAGTTTTCTGCCACTGCTGTTAACTTTTTGTTGATCACCTTCGTTGATGGTATTGGTAGTTAGTGATTGTCTGTTGTTATTTGCTCGCATTGCAGCCGCAGCCGCCTTTCGCATCCTCGACTTGCCGACGCCGGGAATAAAGAAACTTCCGGGGGCNAGGTGGTGGTGGTGGTGGAGTTTGAAGTGTTCGAGTTGGTAGAGTTGACCAGTTTTCTGCCACTGCTGTTAACTTTTTGCTGATCACCTTCGTTGATGGTATTGGTAGTTAGTGATTGTCTATTGTTATTTGCTCGCATTGCAGCCGCAGCCGCCTTTCGCATCCTCGACTTGCCGACGCCGGGAATAAAGAAACTTCCAGTGGTTGAAGACGCCGCCGCCGCTCCCAGGCTGCTGTTGATGCCCTCGAGGACGCTGTCCACAAAAGAGCCATTGCCTGAGTCAGTGGTGTTGATGGAGTTCAAGTCGGTGATGATCTTCAGCCGACACTCGAGCTCATCTTCTTCCTCTTCGTCAATTTCCTCCTCTTCTTCATCCTCTTCAATCTCCTCCACTTCTTCTACTTCAACTTCTTCCTCTTCCTTATCATTAACGACTGGTTCTGAAATGATCATCCTTGAAGAGGAAGAACCATTAGAAGTTGACAACAGTCGACCTCTTGCGTCGTGCAGGTAGTCGAGAATCTCCGCGCGGGAGATGCGAGCACCAAAAAGTGAAGAAGAAGAGTTTTCTTTTACAGCAGTTTTCTTCGTAATCTTAGCCTTAAGCTTCTTCTTATCAGCAAAAATCGAGTCCAGCTCCTCGTAGATGTGCTCATCAGCCTGCTCGTCATCATCATCAAGAACATCGTTTGAGGCAGTGGTGGTTGAAGTGGCAGAACTACTTTTGCCCACTGAAAACAAATTCGACAGTTTGGAGCCTAAAATGAAAAAAGTTAAAAAAACTAAAACTTGAACATCACAATCTTTAACTAATTCCCCTTACCAGCACTCTTTCCCTCCTGACGACTTCCTCGTGTCAACTTTCTTGCAAGAAGTGAGCGTACACTGCCCGAGGAGTACGACGATCGAAGGGCACGTCCAAAGGAGGACGTGGAGTTCTTCTTCTCCTCAAGTTCTGCTGCGGTGTTTACCTCCTCAACTTCGTCCTCACCAATCGAAGTTGTACTGGAGGAAATGTTGGCTGCTGTTGAGTTGCTGTGATTGTTAATTCGCCTCGCCGGAATCGGCGGCGGCGTCGGCGAGCTGCGAACGTCAAAGTGGTGATTCGCCGCCAGCTGCGACCTTTGAGACCTCTTTTGGAAGCTTCTGTTGGTTGCCGTTGTCGTTGTAGATTCCTCTTGTTCATCATCATCACTGAAACTGTCAATATCAAGTTCGTCCTCCTCATCCTCATCGTCATCAAACTGCTGTGACCGTTGATGTGGCCGGTAACGGTGAGTTTGGCGGTCTGTGGGGTGAAATTACAAAAGAAAAGCACTGATTAGAAATTGCACTCATTAAAGCCAAACTAAAAGCACTGAATTTAGCTTGCTTAAAAAGTCTGATAAAAATAAATTAGCTTGAAGTTCAAGTGCTGCTAGACGGCGAGGACACAAACCGACAAACAATGCGACAAAACACCTTCTTTTTCTTTTTCTTTTCCTCCTCCTCCTCCTCTTCACCATCACCATCTCCACTCATAAAACCGCGCTATAAATAGAGACAATACCCGAGAGTGTGTCTTTCAATTAAATTCATTGAGTTGGGGGGAGAGCAGCAACAATTCGGCAATTTGTCAAATGACAGTCAGCGACAGCAGCAGCAGATAAAATAATAATAAAAAGCAAAGGAAAAAAGTTGTTCTCCCTCTTTCTCTCCACTGGCACAGTGCCCACTTGGCCAACTTTCTTTCCTCTTTCCAATCAATCAGCAACACTATATTTACCGCCGATAACCCTGTGGCAGAGACACACAGAGAGAAGAAAGAAATACCGAGAGACAGAGGCCACCACTTCGGTTATTAATACCGCCGAACGATCTCACCTTTTACGGGCAATCGGGTTATTAGTAGTGCTCCGGCAGACTGTAGACAGACCAAGGACGAGGGAGAAGATGCACTGGCACGATCGATATCACAAACTCTCTCCCTTTCAACTTAGTTCCACCACTGATGATGACCACTGATGCCATCGATTTGATGGGTCAAAGTGAAGAAGAAAAAATTAGAAGGAGAGAGATGGCCATCAGCAGCAAAAAACTGTTGGGTCTACGCCTACGCTCGATGACGGCGAAATCAGTCATTCTAATTGCACTGAAGAATTTAACTAGCTAACGACTATGTCAACGGTGCAGAGTACTGACGCTAAATAAAAACCCTCTATTGCCTTGATTCGTGAAAGATTGAAAAAAACTCCACTTTCACTTGTCTTATAAGGGAATGCACACAGCTTCCAAAAGCACCTGACTGAAAACTGCTAACTTAGCACTGATAAGGATCACAACAACAAAAATCAAAAGAAACAGTTAAAATTAATGAGGATTTGTTTCACTTCACCACTCGAGAAGATCACCATCATCAGTCCCTCTTCGCTGACCTTCCTTCCTTCTTTAAAAGTACGATATCGATCACCAAAAAAGTACAAAGATGCGTGCTGAAGGATGAACACGATGTGGCTGATCATCCTGCTCTGGTCATCTGAACAATCTCGATCACACTTCTTCTTCTTCTTCTTTTCTTCTTCTTCTTGAGCATCAACACTTGAGCATGCACCTTGCTGACGATTTTTGCTTTCTAGGGGCGCCTGCAAATTCACCAGCAGCAGCAGATAATCTACTGAGCAGAAGGGCAAAAGCGGCGGCGGCATCAGCAGAAACAACTCGATTGTTCCATTGTTTTAGTGTGAGTCGTTGCTGCAGCACTTTTCGGCCGTTAATTGGCATGCTCAACTCCAATCAACGGCCGAAAACTCCACAACAGTCCACAACAGTCTGAAGTCGATCATCATCGTTCATTCCAGAGCTGTCTGCCTGCTTGCCTGCCAATCGAGCTTTAAATATATCACAAAGTTTAAG